GCTCCCCCATCCTATACGGAAATGAAATGTTAATGACTGACCCAGTAAGGGATTGCAGAAGAAAAAGGGGCTGCTTATAGTGGGGACCAGCAGCTTGCAACACAGATGGTCAGAAGAAACTGTCCCAGCATCTGGTTTATGTGCAAGCTGTACCCTTCTTTGGTCCCCACGTTAGTGGAAGAGGTAAAGGAGCTAAACTCGGAGGGTTTATCCTTGTAGCAGCCTGGCAGCTGGGGCAGAGTATTGGGAGAGCGGTAAAAGCCCAGCTCAGCCTCGCAGATGTGTGGGGCAGAAGAAGGCCCATGCAGAGCCATAAGCTCCATCGTTTGTGGGAAGAGACATGGGAAATACCTCGAAAGGGCTGTGCCTGTTCCTCTCATGGTGCCTGGGTGTTTCTTGTGCTTTGGGCTATTTCATAGGCTCAGGGGAAGGAGTAGGGCTTTATGTCCATTGCCCCAGAGATTCAGCATGAGAAGGGCAAACAATAATAGCGAAAAAACACTTTCCTTCCAGCTGACCCATTTCCTTGAGCACGGGCCCCATCCCTGCTCTGGCTGCTGCCCGTTTCACGGCACAGCTCAGCCCTTCTGTCCCTCCTGCTCAGCACACCCAAGGAGGCAGGCTTCATTGCTGAGCAATCAAATGAAGCTCTGTGTCGGAAGAGGAAAAAAAAAAGGCTCCTCAGATTACACTAGTTTCCTTTTTCCTTATCACTAACTTTGGAGGCAAATCCTTAAAGGCATAGCAGACTCAGGGAGCGCAGCCCTCTCCAGGAGCAGCACCCTCGCTGCCAGAGGACAGGGCTTCTCTTTGAACCCAAAAGCTTCTGGACAGCTAAATGACTTGGCAAATCTGACTTTGTCGCTTTTGTGGTCAGGTATCAACCACGATGAATAGCTCAGCGCTGTGTGATTAATTCAACGTCTGCCATCCCCCACCAATAAATCAGTGACTTCTTGGCTTGGATTGCTATCTCTCTATCATAAGTTGCTTCCTACAGGGATCCAGAACACGGAGTGTCAACAATGTAAAATCGGTATCAAACTTTGCACCATGACCTGTGGGGGTGAGGATGGGGCTAAAACCACCTACAAAAGTTGCTTCCGATACCCATAGTGTACGTCTCCTTTGCATTCCTGAAGGGCTTCAGTTCTCAATCAGTAATGTGGGAGGTCAAAATCTACCTAGTTTTGTAAGCAATTTGGGGACTAGATCGTTTTCGGGCTCTCTGTACAGCCCCTAACACAATGAGTTGCACAATAGGGCTTTCTATGCTTCTGCCAAGACAGGAAAACCAAGAAAATCATCAGAATATAAAATGTTATGAAAGAAGAAAGTCTTTCCCCTCTTTTCCTGCTCGGCTGGAGGATAACACCGTCCCTGCCAGGCAGTAAAGGCAGCCTGGACCTTTAAGAGCAGCAGTTCCCAGTACAACTGTCCCTGGGAACTTTGGAGCAAAGCAGGGCAGAAAGCCTGAGCTCGCTGGCTGAGAGGTAAGCACTCCAGTGTCTGATCTTTAACTTCGTCCTGCAGCTGCGGGTCAGCCTGTTCGGAAAAGCCCACCCCTGTGGGTCTGCATAGCATGTGCTTAGCTCTGTCGGCATATTAGCAAAATAGAAATTACAGCAACCTCAGGGCCGACAGCGGACAGCATGCGTTGCAGGACAAGGAGGTTGCCGGAGCACAAAGATCAAGTGCTCGAGACTTAATTAACCCCTTTCTGCTGAGCCAGAGAATATTAAACACCCAGCTACTGACTCACAGTGTAGCGTAAAAGCAAACTAAAGGTATAGGCGTGTGCAAGGGGATCCGGCCTTGGAAGCCTCTCATGAGGTAACTGTTCCTGCTATCCAGCCTAATTATGAAAGGAGACCGTGATCCCCAGGGACACTCGCAGACAGTCAGAACTCACGCCTAAGTGCCGCTACCCACCAAGCTGCACGAATGCTGAACAAAGCTCGGCTGCTGCAGGAGCAGAAGTAAACAAGGCTGAGGTCTGGACTGACACTTAAGATATTTGGCAGGTGGTTTTGGAACACAAACAGTCATCGAGGCGAGGGCTTGCTCGCTGCTGCAGCCCCGTTGCTATTGCGGTGGGAGCAGTTGTGAGAAGAAGAAAAGCTGCCTCCAGGAATGCGAGGGATGGTTTACATGAACGCTCCTTCACACCAGAGATGTTGTACTGCAGCGTTATTGTCCTTAAGCCTCTCTAAGTATTCATTGAGATGAGAGCCCATTTGGTCAGCCACCACGAGGACGTCTCTACACCGGCTTTTACTTGATGAGGTCAGAGAAGGGGCAGCAGGGGAAACTGAGGCACGGGCTGCCAATTTCCCACAATATCTTTTCCCACAGCCTCATTGCCAGCACCCCGTGGAGGCCCTGCCCTCAATGGGGAGGTTGCTGATGGCTGGAAGAGGGGAGCTGGTTACACGATGCACTCTCGCTGGGGCGAGGGGGACACCCAGACTCGGGAGGTTATAGGGAGGGCATCAGGTCTTCTGCTGCTGGCCCAGCGCAGGGACTGATCGGTTTTTGCTTGAAACCAAATTTCAAGCGTATCAGACCCACCAGCCCAAGGGTGTCTTTTGGGGCCCTCCTGGTCACAGACGCTCATCTCAACAGTGTCACAGAAAAAAGGTGTTTCTATCTGGCTATGCAAAACTGCTAAGTTTCATACATCAGCAGTTATTACAGAAATAAACACTGTCAGCCTGTCAAAGGGAGGGACGAATTTCACCCGACAGGAGACTTGCATAAGGTCACAGACGCTCATCTCAACAGTGTCACAGGGAAAAACTATTTCTTTCTGGCTGTGATAAATGGCTAGAAGTGGGAATAGAAAGAAAAATGAGGCACAGGACCACAGAATGAGCTTGCCAGTGTCCGTGTGCGCTGTCTGTTGGGGAGGGAATGGCTTTCTACAACTAGCGTTTCCAAGGAGATCCTGCCAGTGATGAGTGCCCTTGTCCTAAAAAAGGGATGGAAAAAACCCACAAATGTAGTATCAAAGACACAGTACTGGTTTTTCATGTAGCCTCTTTGGGTCCTTTTGAAGTGAAACTGTTTGTTTCTTATGCCCTTATTGGGACAGTCCTCTCTATTTTATTACATTTTCCTGCGGTTTTGCATCAGCCAATCTGAATCCTGGTACCAGTGCAGATCAGGAGCAATACAACTAAGTCAAGTGAATTCTGCTGTTGGCATAAAAATTGGGGTTAAAGTCTAGAGATTAGGTCATCTGATGTGCTTACCTGCTGGGGCAGAAGTATTTGCACCTACGTATTTGAGGTGGGATTTTTCAAAAGCTCCCAGCACTCGCTTGAGTGCTGGCATGGACATTGGGTCAAACTGCTGGTCGCTTCTAGTGAAGCAGTTGGATCAAATCTGAGAATAGTTGCTGGAAGGTAACCTCTCCCATCTCAACTACATCAAATGAATTTTGGAAAATCCTCCGAGGGAATGTGCAACCAATTTCAAGGTACAAGAAATCCTCAGGCCTTTTGGAAATTAATACAGTCCTTAGCAGATTGTGAATTGTTCTGGAAAACAAATATCCTTGCATGGAAAAACGCCAAACTAAAATCTAAATTAAAGGCAAAAAGAAATCCATGCAGATACCAGATGAAGCAGTGGATTAGAAGTGTTATGGGGAACCTTTTGCATCTTTGCCCTGCAGCCAATACTGATGACGGTCTCTTTCTGCTAATGAAAGGAAAATGGATCAGAGACGTAAAGACACAAAATATATCCAGTAATTTGAGCAGAAACTAAGGCCTTTTGTTTGTAAAAGAAGGTAAAAGAAAACCAAAAGCCACTGAATATGCCTTGAATGTATTCTTAGTAATTATCAATTCCTCTGACCCTTAGATTAGAAAAATTAATGGTTCCTTCATTTCAACAGCCAGGGTCAAAGCTGTGTCTGAACTCCACAGGGAAACTAAAGAGATTAAGAAAACAACAATCTACTTCACATGGATGCTTGTCTAAAATGGTGACACACTGAGACGTTAATCCCAGTTAGCTAAAGCCATGAATGTAAAAACTTACAGTTAAATTACCTGTGGGATAAATAAAGAATTGCTTACCTGTTACAGTAAAAGAAACAGTAAGAAATTGCTATGAATTTTATGCCAGTATGGTGTAGCAGATTTTCTGCAAACCTGTTGTGTGTCAGTTTTATAAATTTTTTTTCAGGTGGGACTCTCCTCCGGGGCCAGACTCTGTTGTGCCACGTGCCGTGTCTTCCCACAGGAAGGACATCCACCTGGCTTGAAGGTAACATCTGAGAGAAAGCATTATTGTCATCTGCTCCTATCCTCATCTCTTTTTTAAGAAACACAGATGGCACAGGCAGGTCTAGCCTGCATTCATCTCCGATTACAGGCACAGGTTTCTTTCAAACCCTCAATAAAATGGCCTAGGCTACATTTGCAGGCTGGTTAACCTACAGAAATAGGAGTAAACCCCTTGAGACACGCACAACAGTAACTGCCTATTTTTCTGCTCACACAGGCAAAAATGAACATTCAAGAGTATTTCACAAGAATTTCTTACAATGAGTCCCATAAGGAGGCAGATTTGCAAACCTTAACAGTCATCTTCCAGCATCACATCCAGGCAATTCCTTTTGAAAACCTCAGCATGCATTGCGGGGAGACCATCGAATTGGATTTACAATCTACTTACAATAAGATTGTGAGAAAGAAACGTGGTGGATGGTGCCTGGAAAGCAACCACCTCTTATTTTGGGCCTTGCAAAAATTAGGGTATGAAGTCTGTATTCTTGGAGGAAAGAGTTATGAACCAGCAGAGAGGGCATACACTGCTGAGATAAATCATATCCTACTGAAGGTGGTGATCAAGGGAAATTCTTACATAGTAGATGCCGGTTTTGGCGGTGCCTACCAGGCATGGCAGCCATTGATGTTGATTTCTGGGAAGGATCAACCCCAGATCCCCGGCATCTTCCGCTTCATGGAAGACAACGGCACCTGGTACTTCGAGAAAGAGAAAAGGAAGCATTACATTCCCGAGCAAAATGTCCCTTTCACTGAAAGTCCAGAACCGGGGAATATCAGAAAAATATATACATTCACTCTCGAGCCACGACATATAAATGACTTTAAGGAGCTAAACACATACCTGCAAGTGTCCCCAGATAACATACTTCAGAAGAAATCAATCTGCAGTCTCCAGACCACTGAAGGGTTTTATGCCTTAGTTGGATGGACCTTCACTGAGGTGAAGTATAACTACATGGAGGACACGGACCTGCTGCAGATCACAACTCTTACAGACGAAGAGGTTGAGAAGACACTGAAAGACAAATTCAATATAGTGTTGGAGAACAAACTGGTACCAGTAAATATTCGTGACTTGCCACCTAATTTAGTGGATACAATCTAATTCCAACTCTGTGCTAGATGGGTCTTTAAATATCCAATATAAAAAGTTCAAAAATTAACGTTAATCACATTAATCTGATTCTAAAGTTGAGCTAGTCAGATGAACATAAAGCCTGGTAAATTCAAGTACGTTGCTAATTAACTGCATATACTGATTGCGTATTTTTTCTTGAGCTTCTCTTTCTTTAGAAATGGAGACATCTTATCACCCCTGATTTGCTCATATGGAAATTGCTTTTTGCCTTCATAACATTTTGTTCCACCTCTCTGAATCTCATTTTATTTCAGATACATTTTGTGGCACAGGAGACCAAAACGACACAGAAGGAGAAGCTGTGTTACCATTTTACACAAAAGACCTCTAACCTTTTTAGGTATTATTTCCAATCTTCTTCTCAACAGAGTTTTACAAATTATTCACTTCCTTTAACAGTCTGAAATACAAAGTTGAGCTGAATTTGGCTTTCAAAGACCTCATAAAAAAAAGCAAGTTTAAGACTTTCTCAAAACAAGCCACTATTAGGCGCTGATTAGCTTATGATGAAATAAGTTGAGTCCTATTCCCTCACCAAAAATTGACTTAAAGTGAGCTATTTATGTAAGGGCACTTAAAAAATCCCCAAAAGCTCTCTAATTTTGAGTGTCCAATTTTTCTGAGTCTGATTTTTCTGTGTCTCTGAAACCGAAACAAAATCAATAGAAGCTGAGATGATTCAACAGTTCTTAAAAATCAGGCTTTTGGTATCAAAAAAGGAAACAATCAAAGTTAGATCAAGCCTCGCAAACTATAATCTAAACTTTTGGGGCCTAACCTTCCTGCAACGTCAAGTGGGCATGACAGTATTATAGATAAAACTTCGTATTTGTTATGAACAGCATCCTGCACAAAAGCTACCTTAAATAAGTAATACTGCAAATGCGAAAGAAAACACTGTGAAATTAGGACATGCCACCGGCGTGGTTTCACAGCATGTTATATGTAATACAAAAGCCTTTTACCGTTATGATACCTGCGGCAGAAACTGTACAGGATGTGTCATGAAAGAGGGGGACAGAAGAACATCAGTCCTCAGCCAAGGAAAAGACTTTGACACACGCAGTAGTCAACCACACAGACTCATGGAGCACCTGATGTGCCTAAACCTCAGGCACTTCCCCAGATGCAGTCTAATGTGCTCTTTGCCTTCTCAAAAGGGGCCTCCAACTCTCCACCTCCATTAAATGAAGAGGGGACATGCTTGACAGGGAGAGAATTAAATAAACAGCCCTGCAACACTCTGAAGATGCAGAAGGCCTAATTTTAGAAAGGAAATGCATCACTTTGTGCAAATAAATATTTATCACGGTATGCGTTAGGTGTGGCAGCTCCAAGATAACTACCTGCTGCAGCTGAAGCTTTGAACAGATTGAAAAAGTTCTTTGTGGGCAAAGAAGGGTCATTTTGTGCATTCGTGGAGTGTGGGAACACGCAGCCTGCAATACCTTGGCAATTCAGTGCACCCACAAGGAAGCTGATGACTATCCTCCATTGCAAAGTGCTGGCGTGAAAAATAAAAATAATTGAATTTTAAAAAGTTACGGAGCTGTTTGCAACTGTCTACTGTAATTGTTTTACATGAAAAACAAGTTCGGTCTGGACTTAACCAGGGGAAAGCATAAACATCTACTAATAGAGAAGAAACAAAGTTTAATTTGCTCATGGATCAGTGAAGTCCAAAAATGTGCAGTCATTTTGTGTGGACTCTGCCCTTCCTTGGCTTTTAAGATTCAGGAGTGAGGGCCAGCAGAGCTTAGAGAGGAAGACAACCCTCACAATTTGTATCCACTCCTGGCTTTACTGACTGCTGCCCCAGTAATAAACAACCCAGAAGCTGAATACATCGATAAATAAATAAGACTATCTTAAGAGGTAAGCTTGTTTTCTTAAAAAAACGTCCGAACTAAGAAACAAAAAAATCTGGTGTCTTTATGATGGTAAAAGTCATGGGCAATAACATAAGCAATATTGTCTTTGGGAAAAATGTTATAAAAATGTGTGGATATAGAGCTGAAATATCACCTGCTAAACAGGCCCTTAAAGAGGGTAAAACAACGATAACGCAATTTCAGTTCTTCTGTCTTTCACTCTTCAGGAGGAGATTCACTTGCCTATGAGAGAGATTCTTTTTTTTAGATATAATAGTAGATACAAATTTAAAACTATAGCCTTTTGTTGGAAGATATGCTTTTAGATTTTTAATTTTGTTTAAAAATATTGCAAATGCAATGGAAGCAAAAGAGCAATGTAATAATCAACAGATTCTGCTTTGTGGGAATAAAATTACAGTCCTTTAAACAAAACTTAAGAAGAAATTACAAACCGTGGTTTGTGTACTCCAGAAAGTCCATGTGTTGACATTAGGATAAAGGTAGACAGATAAGGTATTTTAACAGTGGTATTGCTGATAGTGTGTACAGTCCTGGTGAGGAATATTTTTGTACGAGCACCTTCATTTGCACATTTAGAAATAGTTCTTTAAAGTTCTTCTGCTGATGTTTTTCTCTGCATAAATCATAGCCACATTTGTGGGACTACTTTCTTGGTATCTAGCTTTTCATCTGATCTGCTCACAATTCAAAAGAACAGTAGCTTTCATCTCCTACAGTCAAGATCTAATGCTGGTCAATCATATTATGGAGCTGCAGAGAGAAATTACAAATAATATAAACTTGAGAACCAGCTTTATGCTGGTGTGATCTATTTAGCATTCACAATTTGAGTGGGTAGGATGGGAGAGACTTGGAGTCTGCCAGAAGTCTTATGCTCTACTTAACAAATATTACATTGAAAATACCCTCCAACAATACACTGGAAGCTAAATTCCTTCCTGTAGAAGATGACGTGGTTTTTCATGGGGCTCTCCATTGACATTGGACAGCTGCTCCTATACCATGCATATGCATATCACAAACCTGTCGCTGAAAATTATCTTGAGAAATTCCAGTTTGCAGAAAATATTCAACAGTTCACTGCTGAATTTATCTGAATACGACAGTCTTCCTGTGTCGCTAATATTAAGTATCTAAACCTCAGCTTACTGTATGCACAAAAGATTTCCAAGTAGCTTTGTGGGCTGTCAAGAAGCTAAATATTTGCAGTAACTCTAGACTGCCGAAATGCTTAGTGCTTTCTTTGTGCCCAGCTCCATACACAAGCAGACGATCTATAGGGTATTTTACAAACAGTATCCATCAGATACCTACAGAGCATCCAGCTCATAACAGTGGCCAGCAGACTCTGGTGGGCCATTGCGAAAACCAGATGATTGTGTGTGACCTTCCGTGGTATCAGAAGGCAGAAAATAAGTTGAGTAGTTCCTTATCCAGCAGTCTTGTTCATGAGGAGTCCTACCAAGGCAGGCCAGGAGGTGGGCAGGGCTGGAGGCAGGACAGACCCGGGATGTAGTTCTCAGTTATGCCTCCTCTGGAAGGAATGAAGTCAGTTTTGAGAAAGGCCAGGACTAGAGAGATGTAAAGCAGCCCCTGTCCATTTTCAGGGCACCCTGTGAGACGTGGGGCACAGCGGGGAACAGAGATGGGCTCTGTGTCTCTTAGGTCACTTGCTTCCATTCAGATTCATTATTCCAACACCAAAATGAGTTTGTGCAATGCTCAGAGCAGAAAAGAGACTCAGTGGTCTGCGACTCTTGCAAAGGTCAGAGGGTTTTTTTTCAGTTATAATTATCCGAATAAAAATTGACACTTTATAAAATGTGCAGGGAGTATCATTTTCACTTTTTGTAAGCGGTGAAAGAGCGACGTGCGCTGAACGAGCAATTCATTTAGTCACATAGATCAGTGGCAGACTTGTGAAAAGAACATGTAAATCCTGGCTCAAATTATCCTCCCTCCAACTGGCAGACGACACTCCTTTCACTGAGCAGTGGTTTTAGACTGTTTTCCATGAACCCTCCTGAACACCCCCTAGCATGACCCTACATTTCTCCTTAACCCCGCTGATAACAATGCAAATACAGCAAATCCCCATTTCACAGCCACAGCATATCAAACTGAAATTGCATCAGCTCTTTGCCTCAGGTCTTTGCCATAGGGATGTCTCTAAGACCAAAAGCAAACCCTCACATGCACTGCTCTTCTTTGCTCAGGGAGCCATTTAGTATGAATATTTGTTACCTTTAAAAACTGCTCTGATGAGGCTCAGTGGATTAAAGCATCTTTGCTGGCCGCAGCCTGGGCAGTTCTTCAGAGCATCATAAATCATCGATGTAAAGAAACAAAACCAAAATGCAATTCCTTCCTTTACAGGTGACATGAACCTTGAAGAGTATTTTGCGAGAATTGGCTATAAAGGATCCCTTGAAAAACAAGATTTGGAAACCTTAACTGATATATTCCAGCACCACATCCGTGCTGTTCCCTTTGAAAACCTCAGCATCCACTGCGGGGAGAAAATTACTTTGGAGTTGGAGCACGTTTATAACAAAATCGTGCGGAGGAAGCGGGGTGGCTGGTGCATGGAAAACAACCAGCTGTTGAGCTGGGTCCTGAAACTCCTGGGGTACGACGCCAGCTTTCTGGGAGCTTATGTGTTCAATCCACATGAAAACACGTACGCCACCATCATGACCCATCTCCTTGTAAAGGTAGTTATTGATGGCAAAGTCTATATTGTTGACGGAGGCTTTGGTGTATCCTATCAGATGTGGCAACCGATGGAGCTCGTGTCGGGGAAAGACCAGCCCCAGGCTCCCGGTGTCTTTCGCTTCACGGAAAAAAATGCCATCTGGTACCTTGAAAAAGTGAGACGGAAACAATATATCCCCAATCAAAATTTCTCTAGTTCTGATCTTCTGGAGAAAAAAGAATGTCGGAAAGTTTATATGTTCAGCCTTGAGCCACGGACAGTGGAGGATTTCAGTTTCCAGTGCACGTACCTTCAGACCTCTCCAGATTCCCTCTTTACAAAGAAGTCCATTTGCGCTCTCCAGACCACCGATGGCTTCCGAGCGCTAATTGGATGGACACTCACTGAAACCACGTACAACTACAAGGAAAATATGGATCTTGTGGAATTCATAACTCTTGAAGATGAAGAGGTGGAAAAAACGCTCAAAGATAAATTCAACATAACCCTAGATAGGAAACTTGTTCCAATTAATGTCAAAGGATCTTACACAATCTAGATGACCAGAAAAAAGTAGGTATGTACAGTAGCTTCCATTGTCTGCGCCATCACTACTGTAAGATTATGGGATTCTTTTGCAGTCAATTGAAGGAAAAATACATTTATACCAGATTAAAGTGAATTTCACTCTGGGAAAAATCAGGAATTTAAGACTCTCCTGTCTAGATAGAATTATTTGCTGTGAGATGACTGCTGTTCAATTTTTGGCACAAATGTAGTATCTGATTTGAATCTGGTTATAAACTTGGGTAACAAAAATGTCTGAGCATTTTGGAGTGCCTATAGCACATAAATAGGAGTATGGATTATTAATTGGGATATGCTGACAACACATTTTCTATGGTTATTATAGGTAGAAAAGTAATCTGTAAGCATTTAGACAATGAAGTATACATTTAAAACTTCATTTTTCACAAAATGTAACCACTTGCAGCTCATCTCATTTCTTCACCTTTAATATAAGCAAAAGAGCGTCATCTTTGAAAGGAGCATCATGAAGCATAATTCTTTCACCACCAACGTCAGGCAAAGCAGTACAAAATGAAAATTATCATCACGTGCATCCCTTTTGTCATAGCTGCAGTAAACTGCCCAAAGTAATTTTTGGTATGTATGTATTTTTTGGTGATGTAAATTGTATATATTGCAGCACTACTGTGGCTGATGGGCTCTAAGGAGACAACCACAAGCTTTGCTTCTGATAAGTAATCATTCTATAAAGGGTGAACATTCCTTAAACATCACAACTGGCTTAGATTTACTTCTATCCCAAAAGGGGTGGAGATTTTGTACTTTTAGCATTGCAAGTTATTTAAGTAACAAAGGTAGAACAATGAAGCTATCCCCACTATACCCTCAATTTTGCCTTCTGTGTATAGCAAATATGGGAGTCCATATGGCTATCCTGAATGAGTATCACTTAGCACAGGAGCTGTAGTGTCACAAGTGAGTTCATTCATCTATATCAAAGTGAAAGAAATGAAGGAGCCAACCACATTTAAAGAATCCCTTTCTTTAGAATTGGAAATAAATCCTTACAATTTATTTCACATTCACATTTCCCCATTTAAAAAATACGTTTTTTTTTCAAAAAGTTAAACAAGGAAACCACTGAGAAAGGGGAAACATTCTCAGATGCATCAAAAAACCCCCAGCAGTAACGCTGAAAACCAGCCTTTTCCCCCAATCTATGATAATCCTGAGTATTGGTCAAATGTTGATTCCTTCCACTGATATTGTATCTTTTTGCTCAAAGACATCATCTGATCATAAATCTCACAAATGCTGTAAGTGTATGCCTAAAAATAAATAAAAGAAAATAAAAACATAAAGAGTTGCTGTAAATACAGCGTCCACCCCCAACTGCATGACCCCAGCACACACCATTTGCAAAGTAAATGAGGTCTGTTCAATCACGCTATCGATCTGCTGGCCAGCCCTCCCCACCACAAACTTTTTGAACCAAAAAAGCCAATATTGAACAAACCTGACAGCAGTGTTGGAGATTGTAAGTTCCTATAGGTTCCTGGAAAAAGGAGCTTGTAGGCTGAGGAAGAAGACAGTCACCAAAAAAGGAGGTCCAGTAGTCACCTCCTCTGCTGGGGTCAGCAGCCAACAGCTCTGGGCTGGCCACAGTGCGTGCCAGCTCTTCCCTGCTGACCAGCCATGGTGGCAACTGATGGCCTGGGCGCACGCATACTTGCATGGGGACGAAGAACCTAGGGCCAAGCAGGAGATGACAGCGGACAATGAAAGATCTTACTGAGGTGGGGACAATTTTTCTATAAATAATGGAACTAAGGACTTTGTTCTCTAATTTGTGTTCATCTTATTCTCTCATACTAAGGTCCCATTAAAGGTTTTTACACCTTTCTAAATGATTGATCAAACCGAGGTGTTCCCTGAGACCCCAAGGAACATTATGAGCTTCAAAACACTCACCACCTCCATTCTAGCTGACAGAAATTCCCATCTGTATAAAGCAGGTCACCAAACTGTATTTCTCTATGCAACGAACTACAGTTTTCTGGTGATGCTGCCTCTTGCCTTGAGGACAGCCCTTAACAGACTGGTTATTTTGCCTCTATACTTCTCTAGAGGTGTTCCTGCTGTTGCTCCCAGGTAACTGCTCAGGTTATGGTGTGCAAGAGTTTCTTAGGCAGAAGCCTACAGACTCATATTGGCATTTTAAACTGTGCCTGCAATGAGACTCAACACAGATACCCTCTTCTACTATTCAGTTCTGACTAAAGATCTATGGGGCTGCTGATGACTGAAGCTTCAACCCTCTCTCTGAGTCCATCTGTGAGAACCACTCTCTGAGCGGGATTTTCCCTCTTGATGTGTCAATTATAACCAGGTCCTCACTGTGCAACATCAGATCACGTGAAGGAATGTCAACATGTACAGCTGAGGAACAGTTTCACAGTTTAACTAAAGCTCCCCAAAAGCTGACGAAAGAGGTGTGAATGCCAGACCCAAAATGTCTCAAAGGTTCGAGATGAGAACGGTGTGAAAACAAATAAACCCAAACAAATACAGGGGCCTCATGCTGGGGTTCCATTAGCAAGGCATTACTGTAGAAGGCAGATGCTCTCCCAGACTCAAAAGAAAAGAAATCACCAAGTTCTTAAAGCATCAGCTCTCAGAGAAACTTGCATTCACATGCAGAAGGAAAACACAGGATGTCTCACATCCTTCAACACCACTATGCTTGGTTAAGACTCTCTGAGAAAGGTTTAATGAGAACCTAAGCTATTGTGCAGTTTTAGTTGTTGACTGCTGTTGAAATGAAGCAGAACAAACGCTTATAAACCCCCCACCCAGGACTTGTCTAATTCCAAATACAATTTAAAAGTATGGTATTCCAATTAACAGAAAGACGAGACAATTTCTTTTTAAGTCTGAATGCTGGATTAAGTCCCAGAATCCCAGCCCAGCTGCCCATTACGCACACACGCAATGCCCAATGGCAATGACAGCCATCCGTGGTTGTGCAATTATATAATGGAGTGTCTTATTAGAAAACAAGACACATAACAGAAGAAACACAGTTCAAACTCCACGGCACCACTGAACATCCTCCCCCTTCCCCAAAGAATCAAAGTTTAATCAGCTCATGCATTACTAAAGGGAGGAAACAGGATGGCTGCCTTCAGCTGGATTCTGGCTTGGACTTTTAAAGATCCAATACTAAGCAGAGTAAGAACAACAACATGAGAAACATCAGCATGAAAGATTAAGTTCTTCAATACTTACATGTTTCAAACATCAGCAGTTATTACAGAAATAAACCCTGTCAGCCTGTCAAAGGGAGGGACGAACTTCACCTGACAGGAGACTTGCTTACACTCCACACCGTGAGCTGTCACTGAGCACGA